TGAGGTTTGAAAGATGGTTAATACAAGTATTTAAAAGGTCTAAAGGTTCGAGAGGGTACTAATGATAACTAAAGGTACTAGAGGTGACTATAGGTGACCAGAGGTGATCCAAAGGTGGTGGTTGTGACAGAAGACTAAGCGTAAAGAACTCTATGCCTGCAGACCAAACCATTGTATATATACCTGCCTTCCTTTCACTAGCTCATCATAACATAGACCTTAACATAATATCAACATGATACCATGTGCCAAGAACTGTCCTGTTGTCATAGCAACATATGAAGAAAGGTAAAATTATATCCTAAAGAAAGGATCAGAAGAGGAATCCTTACATCCTCAGAGGTGATGCTGAAGATAACAGGACAAGTTGGGCCATTAGGATTGTTTGTTAGACATCTTGGACTGCCAATCAGTTCCACACCCAGGTTAAAATCTTGTACTTCCTCTTGAAAGGAAGTGATTGGTAGGCTAGTTGGCACCCCATAGGCTACCAATTTCGGAAAGTTATTCACTTTTTGAATGGTGTCAATAGGCCCTTTTCCAAAGAGCATTATCCACTTCTCCTGTGAAGATAGAAGCTCATCAGGCGTGGAGTTAAAGCAGGTAAGAACAAGGTTATTTCGAGGGGAGGTGTTGACCCTTGCCACAGCTTTCTTGCCAAGGAGTCTGTTGATGTTGTCCCTGACACTAATAGCATTGTAGGCAGGAACAGATGCACCCTTTTTCAAGACAAGAACAAGAAGTGTGTCAGCATCAGTAGCATTAGTGACAGCTTTTGGGGTAATAGCTGCTGTAGAGCTTGGTGGAGGTTGTTGGGCTGGTTTAGTGAGAGGTAGCCTGGTCTTTTTGTTGGTGACTTTGGTCCATTTTTGGTCTGATGGTGCAGTGGTGTGAGGTGTGTTTGTGGCTGCCACACTAGAATAGCTGGCAAACTTGGTTGGCTGACTAGATGAGCTGGGAAAGTTGTTGGTGGCCATAGGTGCAGGTCCACTGGAAGAGGCTGGTTTGGAAATAAACTGGACAGATTTTTTTGGCACAGATGATGGTGCATTGGTAGTCCCCTTGACTTTATCTCCAGGCAGAAAGTTATTCTCAGTAAATTCTCGAAATATTTGTAGCAAGTCGAGAATTCTAGTTTGTCTATCCCTGTCAAATGTTAATTTATAGGCGTCCAGGATTTTATCCCTGGCTGCATAAATTGCATCATCAGCTGAGGGTGCAAAAGAGTAGTTGGTAGCAAGTTTGTTCAGCTTGGGAGGCTTTGGGTACTCAGTTGGATCACTAGAGCTTCGACCAATTTTTCGCTTGTTGAGTGAAAAATTTTTCCTGTCACCTGACACAGAAGCAGAAATGGGATCTTTTTTTTTTTTGCATCAGATTTTAATTGCGTATGCAGCTATCTAGCTATGACACAATATCAAAGAAAAGTACAGAAAAGATGACTCAACTTACAAGAGGAGCACTCATGCCTCAGATTTCATTTGTAAGTACCACTGCGAAGTTATGCCGGCTTTTTCTTCACCCCAAGTCAACCCTCATCCGTGAATACCCACCCAGGGGAACTTCTCAAAAACCCTCAGTTACCCAGACATGCCTCCGTCATCCATCAACTTTTCTCCGCGCGAAATGTAATCTGAGATGTCTCCTTCCCAAGTGGAGTAGGTGCCCAGGCTACTCAAACTATACCGGAGAACACTACCAGGAGGCGAACCATAACACCTTACATCGTCTGCTTAATTTTATAGTGTCAGCTGCACTCTCGCAAGCGAATTCTTGGCGCGCACAAAGCTCAATTCGTAAAACTCTTGCCAAAATTCGAAATTTCACGCCCGTCGAAAACGTATCCCTCTTCTGCATCATCTTGTAAACTTGTCCTGATCCCTCTCACGTCCGTCCCAAAGAGCCATCTCCCAGATTTGTGCACCGCGCTTTGCTTCCTCCGTCGGGTATAAATATCGGCGTGAGCGTGTACTTGGTGGTCAACTGAGGCCAGAGAAAGTCGACGAGAGGTGTGATCATTGGAATGAGGATGTACTATATCGTACTTGTAGACTTGATGAAGCTTAGTTGAGAATCGGACTCTTTGGGAGTGAAAGATTGACATGGTGGAGTAATTTGAAATTTTGCCTCGTGGGCCAACTTCTTTGATATTGCGAAATTTGACTGAACTTAGCTCTGGGAGAATATTTCACTCCCAGGTTCGTAGAGGACACCGCGTACAGGTGTTCAGTCTTGCCCTCCAGAAATGGGATCAGAACTGCTCTCCATGGCTGTAGGAATGTTTGATGATGATGAAATTGACCTTAAGGGATCTGTTGAGGTTGGTAGTTTTAGACTACTGCTCCAGATTGATTGATTGAGCCGTGGTTGGGATGGTAGGTCAATAAAGCATGGTCTTCAGAGACCTGTTCCCCCTCTCGCTCCATATCTCATCTGCCTGTCCTTCCTCAAGATGGATAACCTCATTAAAGCATACCGAGCGATCAAACTGGCACCACGGGAAGGTGAAGAATTTGTCTCCGCCGATAGTTTTAGCCAATCAATTGAGGATTTATTTGATCGCTAGTTTTAAATTGATGAGGCACTGGCTGGAATCGATCTTGTCGGGTATGATAGATTGATATGGTGCAGGGTCTTGAGTCATTGCCTCGTGAGTCAAATTCTTCATTATCGCGAATTTCGGCTGGACTTGACCCTGAGAGAATATTTCACCACCATGTTTGTGCAGGACACCGTAGAGAGGTAATTCGTGTTAGCTCCACTTGAACATCATTCTTTAATCTGCTCGCCTGTGAATTAGCTTTTACGCAGAAAAGAAGTGGTTTCTTGACCGTAACACCGATTTATGATGCGTACGAACTAGTTCTATCCAGACTCGGAAATTATTGATTGCAATTTGCGAGGAGCATAGGTCGAAGTTGTCATGTTTTGGTGCACAGTGATTTTGACATGACCGAGTGAGCCGCGGGAAAATGAAGTGGGTCTTTTATGAAGTCAGAGGCCGTCGGTATCTAAAGGCTTTCTAGATTGCTGAATTATTACTCCATTGTTCGACATAGCTTGCCATGTAGCAAATCTTCTTCCCTAAACATGTCTGTATTCAGAAAAGTACATATCTTACATGTCCTGATTTGAAGCATCACTCTAATTAAATTGCATGAGTCTAATACAGTTTAGAAATTCTAATATTACTTCACATGCAAGTTAATCTTTTTCAATGCAGTCAAGATGAAATTCTGAATGCTATCCAAAAAGTTCTAAGAACAAAAGGATACGCAATAGATATAATTTAAGAACTTTTAGTAAAAATACTATGAGGAGGGTCGAGTAATATGTGGATTTGCTTGATTAGTTTATTTTCGATTATTCAATAAGTTAATGTGTCAGAACAAGAAAGCTGAATGCAATAAAACTCATGAAAAGGGAGTAGGAATTTTGGAATCATTCGGTCTTTTTTCATTGCATCAGATTTTAATTGCGTATGCAGCTATCTAGCTATGACACAATATCAATGAAGAGTACATAAAAGATGACTCAAGTTACAAGAGAACTCATGCCTCAGATTTCATTTGAAAGTACCAATGCGAATTTATGCCGGCTTTTTCTTCAACCCAAATCAACCCTCATCCGTGAATACCGACCTAGATGAACGTCTCAAAAACCCTGAGTTATCCAGAAATGTCTCCATCACCCATTATCTTTCCTCCGCGCGAAATGTGATCTGAGATGTCTCCTTCCTAAGTGGAGTATGTGCCCAGGCTACTAGAACTATACCATATAACACCAGCAAGAGGCGGACCACAACACCTTCCATCGTTGACTTGTGCTTATAGTGTTAGCTGTACTCTTGCAAGCAAAGTCTTGGCGCGCACAAGGCTCAATTCGTAAAACTTCTTGCAAAAATTAAGAGTTTCACGCCCGTCGAGGTTATATCCTTCCTTCGCATCGTCTTATCAACCTGTCCTAATCCCTCTCACAACTATCCCAAAGAGCTATCTCCCAGATTTGTGCGCCACGCTTTGATTCTTCCGTCGGATGTAAATATCGGCGTGGGCGTGTACTTGGTGGTCAACTGAAGTCAGAGAAGGTCGACGAGAGGTGTGATCATTGAGATGAGGATGTACTTGGTCGTACTTGTAGAATTGATGAGACTTATGTAGGAGTCAAACTCTTAGGGAGCGAAAAAATGACGTGGAGGAGTAATTTGAATCATTGCCTCGTGGGCCAACTTCTTTGATATTGCGAAATTTGACTGAACTTGGGTCTGGGAGAATATTTCACTCCCAGATTCGTAGAGGACGCCGCGCACAGGTCTTCAGTCTTGCCCTCCGAGCCATTTGGTTTGTGGACTATACATTTCGGATACTCACATGACGTAAGTTCATCGAACTGGTGCGCTCCATTTGGGAACTCGCATAGAAGGTGTATCATAGTTGGATGAGCCTTTGATGTTGTTCCATACGAGAGTGTTAAATAGAGGTTTAGGACTATATCGCCATGCTTAAGCATGATCACTTAGTTCAATCTAATCAGTTTGTCGACCCGTTCATTTGCTATACATGCATCTATTGAATGCAGGATAACTCGTCAGGAATTTAGTTCCTAGTGTTGTAAGTTGATTCGAATGAAGCTCTTCCGGGTTAAGGGCTTATGAATTTCCTGCAGACATCCAATTATTTGATCATTTCTGACTGTATAATTTTAAGTGTGAAATACTATCTACAACGAGTTGATATGGAATCAATTGTAAAGACACTTTGATATTGAGGTTGCCCCACGACTGACCCCTCACCCGGTAATGATTGCACTGCCCCTTTCCCCCCCCGGTCTCTGGATTATGTCACATATTAAGACAAAGGTACAAGGAGGAATTATAATTGCAAATTACCATATTGAAGCCACGAGGTACATATGAATCCATCTGAGCTACTAGTTCTACAGTGCTCAAAAAACTTAACAACAAACCTTCAATTTGAACACTACTGCTAGCTTCATTAGATATGGCGGAAAAACCCTCGTTTTCAACAAAAAATCCCGATAAAAAGCCGCCCCTACGGATTCTTACCCTTGGTGAGATATACATCATCGTTTCGAACCTAAATCAGTATAACTAATATTCTCTAGATGGTGGAGGTGTTCGAGGCTATTCGATGCTTATTTTAATACAAGAACTTATGCATAGAACATACGTTGAGATAGAGGGAAAGGCACCGCGTCGAGATCAAATACCCAAGCCTGCGGATCACTTCGATCTAATCGTAGGGGCAGGGACTGGCGGTATGATTGCTCTAATGCTTGGAAGGTTACGACTGGATATAGAGACGTGTAAAGAGCTTTATATTTACACCACTAAAAAGGTTTTCCAAACAGACAAGACTATTGCAGGTATACCTTATAGATCAACTCTATTCAAAGCTTCCAAACTAGAAGAAGCTATTAAGGAATGTGTTGCAGCTCATACAGTCTTGGAGCGGGAAGGTAACGATGGCAAAGAGCGTTTTGATGCAGAAAAGCACATGGGCTACCCATTAACTTGGGGAGCTTCGGGACCAAAACGACATTCGAGCAATGGAAGTACATCAAGCTTCAGCGCGAGAAAATCTTCTGTGGATCTTGGTAAATCACTAGCCTCAATGGGCTTGGGAGATCCAGACGCACTATTGTATGATAAGCGGCCGCACAGGACAAAAACGCGAGTAGCCCTTCAAGTCATTTTATCTACACTTGCTGACTGTAGTTAAAGTGCTGTAACCGCAGTCTACAAGGGTACACACAAAGGAGGCCCACCAGCACTGCTTCGATCCTATGATTCTCGGAAAGAGCCGTCACCAGAATCAGATTGCACTTTATGGCAAGCAAGCCGAGCTACGGCCGCGACATCCTTCGCTTTCAAACCCATTCAGATTGGGCAATCAGTCTTCCTTGATGAGGGAGTGGGCAAGTTCAATCCTGCATCGGCAGCTCTTGATGAGGCTTGCTTAAATGAGTGGCCGGGTCGAGAGGTGGGAGTTTTTGTCAGTCTTGGAACGGGGAAAAGACCTGCAGGAAGTGACTCTAACTCTCACATGTGGTATGAAGGCTTTATGGGCGAGTTTGCCGAAGCTAGAAGGCGGTTAATTTCTAAGATCGAAGGCTGTGAAAAGACACACGATTATCTGCAACGAGAAGGCTTATCTAAGCGTGGAGTTAACGTAGAAAACTACTTCCGACTGAACGTTGAGATAGGAGTAGGTGAATTTGGTCTCAATGAGTGGAATCGTATAGCAGATATCAGCAACTCAACACGTCGCCATCTGGGAAAGCCTGAGGTTCAACGCATGAGCATAAAAGCAGCCTCAAAGCTAGCTAAGATTCACAGGGCTCATCTACGTCTTAGTGAGAATCGAAACACAAGGAATTTTGAGGGAAGTCTGTCTGTCCCTGATGCACGCTCCAATGCTGTTGAGCTACCTGCCGATAGTCTCGTGGTTCCATCTGCGGTTGATTCTTTTGAGTTAAGCTACAAAAATCTCAGCGGAAGTCCTTCACCAAGAGTGAACTCTCCTTACATCTACGAAAGTAAATCTCGCCACCAATCTCTCCTGCTAGAACCTAAGATAGATAACTCATCTCGCCATAAGTCACTTCTAGTGGAATCTAAGAAAGGATACCAACCTCAGCATTCCATGTCTCGCAGCGAGAGCTTTTTATTCAGCGATACAGGTAAAATTTCTATTATGAGCAATGACGAGATGTTTAAATCTAAAGATCATCTGCCCACCAGGGTTGAGCCCCCACCTTTACCACCCAAGTTATTTGTTCAGAATCCTAGCTACATGAATCGACCGCTACCTCCATATCCAGTCGATGATGAGCCACCTCCCGCAGTAAATCTAGCGCGAAAGCCAGACTACAAAATATCATTCATATAGGCATTGAATCACGGCACAGGGGCGTCATTGGGATTTTTGGATAAATGATTGGAGTTCTTTGGCAACATCGGGATATACCTATTTTTGTCTGGCTGGGAAACTATTATTTTACCTTGAATTATCTTCAGTAATGTACAACTTCAATGCATTGGCTCGAATATTCTTTTTCTTCTTCTCGGGCCAATACCGTGGAATGTCCAAGTAGTAGACATTAGATTTAAGTATTTGCCTGATTTTAGCATTTCCATGAATAAATCTCGCAACTCATCTGCCATTATTCTTCCAACTGTGAGATTTTATTCGCTCATGAGTCAGTACCTTTTATAGATACAAGATTTCTGAAAGGCATATAGCAAGTTAATCATAGACATATTAAACCATTGGTCACTACTAGCCGGCTGTAAACGGCCCGAAAACCCCCCTGATCCGCCGTCCTAAAGTACACATCTCCTACGAATTTATTGAAGGATACTTCACGTGAAGTTCATGAGCTGTTTGTCTCATTGCAAACCGCTGTGACGGGCTTCGCTGACTACAGAGGCGGCTCGCCAACCAGCTCCCCCTGTGGCATCCCTTGCCGAAGTCCGCGCAAAGATAAAAAGGCCTATATGGGACCTGACCACAGCTTGATGGCAATCTCATGCTCCCTCTACCTACTATGATACAGGGATGCCATTTCCCAAGAAGCTTCCGAAAGGACTGCGACCCCCCACCGATATTTCGAGTTTTTAATCCAATGCCGCACTGGACACGGTGACTTTCGTGCTTATCACGAATGGTTTCATCATAAGGATGCTCTTCTGACTTGTTCCTGCGGGGCTAACAAGTCAATCACTCACTTAGTTTTTGGCCCCCTTGTACGAAAAAGATTGGGTTCAGCCGGCCGTCAACGGAGTATGGGCTCACTTAATTTTCTCCTCTGCACCTCCCCAGGAGCTAAGCGTTTCGCCACCATATTGGAGAAATTTAGATTCCTGTCAGAAATCTGCCCACTCCGTACCATATGAGCTATTCGTGTGAGGTACCGCTGCATAACGCTCGCAGTCTCTAAATGTATTTTCATGGCCTCTGCCACTGCACATCAAATTTTGTATTACATAGCAGTCACCATGTCCCCTCAAGGATGGGGCTTTAGTTGTAATTAGTGCCCGGTAGACGTGAAGGATGTGAGGGCTTCGCATGTGATCAGGGGACCAGTAATTTGTAAAGACCGTGGGGTTTGGTATAAGTAGCAGAATAGGTGGATGTTCTATGATTAGTTGTTGTGCCTCTGGCCAGTTGGCGACATGATAAAGCTACTCATACTACAGCCGTCTCGCCCATGCATGCGCACACTCGGCAACGCTACGGAGTCTTCCGAACCAATTAGAATGGGGTGTTTATTGTATTATTTGTGTCCATGACTATCTGACCCAGGCCACGCCTAGCACATTGCTCCCTTCCGCTTTTATTATTTCAAAAATCATTGATACGTCGCCCATAATAGACAGTTAACCCAGCTTGTAGCCGTGGAATTCAGCTACCTTTTTCCATGGATCCCTCTGCCCCCAAAAAAGTCTCAAAAAACCTGCAGCCCCAGCCAGGCGAGGTCCAGACACTCGGACCACATGAGGTGCGCGCATTCATCTATATCTCCCATCTTGGTGACGTTAGAAGCCAACTCGATCCAATCCACCATCAGTATCGGGTTCAGGGTGTCACGGTTCAGGAATCGATGCATGAGCGGTCAGATATACGAGGGTGGCTTATAATTATCTGCAGTAGCCTATCTTAATTGTACTTCGACAATTTACACATTTACTAGATCATCTAGGAAGGGCTTGTCCCTCAATATCTATAAGAAAAATTTTTGGCATATTTCAAAATTAAATTTCTCAAATGTAATTAGAATCTTCAGTTAGATTCACAAAGTCCCCCATAGTCTTAGACTCAGTAGGAACTAGAGTAAAAATCTAATCTAATCTAGATCATCTAGAGCTGGTGTGACACGTGATGGATATCACGTGCTACGGGTGCAGTTACCGGCTCACTAGCCATTGCACTGGCTACGCTCATTCGTGAGTATTGCCTTTACACTAAAAGGGTTAACCTTAGGTTTTTATTTTTCCCGCACATCTCTTTTCCGTGATTCATCACTGTCGTATTTTCTCCCTGGGATATTCTTTTTCATTGTTGATCAGATCTCACCTCCTTTGGTTAGGGAGTCGTAGGCCTCCGACGACTGAGGCAGTAAGCCTAAGCGTCCTTTGCCCCTTTAGTTCTAAGATAGACGTTAAATACAAAACAAACAAAAAAAACACTGAATACGCTTGCCCCATGTTCCTCCACGGCAGGTCCAAGCATACTGGGTGCCTGGATATTTTGATATCTCTGGAAATGAGCTTGCTGGCACCTTGGCTGGGGAGGGGATGTCGCAGCCCCCTTATCATCCGTCAATGCCGCCAAGAGCCTTGCTAAAGGTGAATCAGCCCTTGCCATGGAAAAATGCTGGATTGAGCACGCTCTAGGCTCATGTCGAATAATCGGTATCAACCCCTACACCTGCTACCCGACGAAGCTCTCACTTGAGAGAGACTTTCTTTCAAGACTTAACGCTCCCGTTCGGGACATGGCGACTTCGCTGTGCACCACTCTCGTTTTAACCACCTAGATGCACACGTATCTTGCAGCTGCGGGCTGGCCAAGGCGCCTGAACATCTGCTAGAATGTACCATGCCCAACCGGAGTCTTCCGTCGGTTCCAGTTTCTTTTAGCATTCCGACAAAATCGTTTTTAGGCTCCTGGGAGGGGGCGATAAGTACTGTCAAATGGTTCGATCAGACAGGATTCGACCCAACAATCTGCGCTGGACATTGAGGCTGAATTAATCAGAAGTGATAATTCTCCGTGCTATCACACTACACGTGTTAGTCTGGCTATAGGACATGAGCAGAGTCTAGGACTCGGGCTCGTCAGGGAAAAATTGTATCATGTAATGTTATCTGTGTAGTGCGGATCCGACATCAGGCGTTGCTCTGTATGTCAGGGAGTAGCGAAGGCGAGGCTTTCAGGACAGTAAGCACTGGCGTCTATGTCTGGTATTAAGTAGGCAGCAGGGGCCCAAGTTTCGGCTTGGCGTCCCACTGGACATTAAATAAAACAAGCACTGGACACGCTCCGGAAACTTATTGGATGGCTTTTCCTCCACGATCAAGGGGTGTTGATGAGAAGGGCTTCGACCCTAACATCTTATCTGATCGTGGTTAGCTTCATGATAACGGTAAGATAAGAACTTTATAATAGTCCCTTCTGGGTCTATGATTATGGAGGACTTCCAGAACCTACCAACTAAACTCTAGCTACTATTTCAATGTTAAAATGAGGTTATTTAATATTTTCCCATAGATGTTGAGGGTCATGCCCTGTCATGATAACGGTGATAGGGGGATATGTAGAGATATGATGACGATACGGGCGGCAATAGAAATGGTAATCGTGAGACTCCTCTTCTCCGCATGATCAGGTTAGCATGGCGTTTACATGTCCTTACACAGTCATAGAATTTATAGGACAATAAACACATACATAGACTGAGAAAGGAGGGGGACTATTCTCAACACCTATCAGTGGTATCCCCTACGAACCTCCAGCTCTCACTGTAGAGTCTGTGGAGCCGAGATTGAGTAAGACCTTTTCGACTTTGAGCTGAGCTATCTCCCCCTCCGTCAAAGATACGCTCCCGATAACTCACAAGACGACAAAGACGACGATAATAATGCTGGAAACGAGGAAAGATAATGCGGTACCAAACGCTACAACGGTAGTCAGAGAAGCCCTCGTTATATTACAACATGTGCTACCCACCGGCGGGCAAACCAAAAGCCCACAAAAGCAGAGTAAAAGACCCTTCCGCCCTCAAGAAAAGTAGATTTCGACTCGTCAATAGTATCGTCCCTACTAATCTATACCTCCGAATCTACTAGCTAGGAGGGCATCTGGAATGCATGAGTTACCCGACGACCTCTCGTCCGTAACGACTTTTGGTGGCTAGGCCAGGCTCCTTTACGGCAGTCACTCTCGACCAAGACTTTTCTGATATCCTTTCACGACCTTCGATTTGTCCTACGGCATGAATCAGGGGAGGAGTAAGGAGGAGGCTAGGAAGGTTGAGAGACGCTCTTAGGTGCACACAGGTCTACTGCGCCCGGCTGGCCGGCCTCTTCGCCATAGGAGAGCCCCGCACCCAGTGGTTCTTGAGACTTTTCCCAGCAGCTACACAACCGCAAATGGCCATCGTTTCGTTGGCTGGAGAGGAGAAATAATGACGGGATAACGGCTCCTCTTAGTTTGTACTCGAATGAAGACTTGTGGGGGTATTACTGGTGGAAAGAAGTCGTGAAGAAGGCATAGGAGGGAATACACTACCCGAGGCATAGATACTCCCGGCCTGTAAGCAGAAAGGACCTACATGTCATTATATAGTCATAGACTCATTACGACAATAAGCACTCACTCACTCGGTCGCGTAAATATATGGGTGTGTTATAGACTGATAACGTAAGTGATCTGCAAGCGAACTAGTTTCCAGCATGCTGTTGTAATCAGCATCGTAACTTCATTTCTACATATCAATTAAATATATCCCACCACGGATTACCTTTGATGTTCTAGCGCAAATTAACTTTCCCACCCATATCCCCAATAAAATACATGTGAGGACTAGTGCAAAGATCTGTGCAGTAGCTGGCATGAAAGAGCAAGAAAAATGGCTTCTCCCACAAGTTGTATAGGAGTTTTGTAGGGCTATGGACTTTTCCGAGTAGTCACAGGTAGCAAATCTGTCAGTTTACTTGTTGTGGATGGCCTTCGAGCCATCCTCGAAAGGGTAAAAAATCCGTGAACCGTAGCGAGGGGGCATTGGGCTCCTTCTCACGGCCTGTGCTGCGCCTACTGCTCACACTAAAGCCACTGCCTAAGCTGCCTGCAATGCGTCTACTTCTTGAAATACGCCTGCTGCTTGTACTGTCTCCACTACTGGAGCTGCTTGAACTGCTTACAATTTGTCTACTGCTTTCAATGCGCATTGAGTCACTTGGCAACTGTTGATACCCTGGGATAGAAGGATAGTATTTTCGTCGTCGGTCGACTTCTCCGTTGGTCACGGTGCAGAGCTCATAGCTCCAGGGTGGTGTTAGGGGAGTATTGGGTAGACAGCCCTGCCGATAAACTTTCATCAAGACGCCTCGGATACTGCAGTCATCATCTATAAGTAGAGAATAATCCGGATGTTTGACTTTGCGTGTTGCTATCGTGTTCAATTAGTGACAAGAATACTTGAGTCGGTACTTCTCCCCTAAATCACGGGAAAAGAAGGAAGCATACTCACACGCCTCAATTAGGTAGGACGGGGTGTTGAGGATATATCCGGGTGAAGCCATTGTTATTGATCTGTCATCGAGGGGAACACTCTTCAAGTCAAGCGGGATACTATATATCGTCTGTTCCGAAGATGTGCCACCATAAAGATATTTATGTATGGATGCTTGAGGTTGCCGCTTGAGAAGCTTTTTTAAAAATTTAGGTTCTATTACTGGTAGTTGTTCGCGTGGCTGGTCGATGTCTGGTTCCTGGCTAGGGAAAAGAATGTCACACGCTCTGGAGCGGGCCCCTTCGATTCTTTCCGCTCCGACCAGTAAAAACTGTACCGAATTTATACATTCTAATTCTTTGAATGATTCCGAGTTTGCTGTTGCTCTGAAACTATTCTTTTGAGTTTCGGAAGTCGTCGGCGTTGTCAAGAGAATGAGCACGACGACCAATGATTTCATCCCGATTTCGATCATCGGAATGTATTCAAGCAGGAAGAGTGGTTATTTCTTTTGTAACAGTTGGCGAAGGCTGCAGGATGTAAGTAGGAAGTAGATTTTCGTGGGATTTGAGAACTTGGAGTAAGTATCTAACCTCTGGGTGGGGATAACTAATTCATACCTTTACTTATTGGAATCTTACTCCCTTAAAAGTGCCTATACATATAAAATGGATCGTAAATAGATGCAAGTCTTCAATAGCAATGTATGTTGTGAAGTGTGGCGGCTGAATTATTTTTGTACAAACCAAGGTCGTAGGTCCATTTGATGAATGACCTCCCGGCTTGTAGTGGAGACAATCTTGGCTCTACCGCTTATACGGCCAGAGCTGGATGTTCGCAGGGACATGACTGACTGGTATCGAATCTTCGTCGCCCATGGCCTAGTCAGAGATCCATAACAGGCGGATATGCATGGGATCGAGACCTGATACGAGGAAAGGATGAATGATCCGCCCTCTTAAGACGCTCCGAGTCATAGGTCCAAGTCTTCTCGTCCTCTTTCGCACCCCGCACCCCGCGATAGAGGCTAGACGACTAATCTTAGTGAAGCTACGAACAGAACTTGAGGGATAGACGGTGCAATAATGCGCCATTCAAGTAGATTCGGTGGAGCCTCAGAGCATATGCTACTGGAGAGAGGACGTCATCGACTCCATCCCATCATTACCCGACCACATTACTCGCCGTGCTCGTATAGAAGACGGTGATAATTAATTTGGACAACTCGAGTTATAAGCTCTCTTCTATGAATTCTCACGGACTAGAGCAGACTGCTGCGTCTCAGACACACTTGCCAATGGCATTTGCGTTCGAAATCTATTATGTGAGCCTTTCTCAAGCCGAAGGAATCACTGTCAAGTACGCAAGATATCTGAATCCGTAATTCATGCATAAGCCTCGAATTAACACGGATTCAGGAGTCGAGGATATCCACAGATTTGCTCAGCTCTAAAGTGTGAATTCAAGGGTTGGTACACCAACTCTCATTATTGCACCTGTGAGTAAATGTCTGAGATTGTTTTTGAAAAGTAATTGAAATCCTGATAAAGCTCGACTCGAGAAGATTGTAGGAGTCTACATCTGAGTATTTTATGATGTGCACTTACTCCCTTGGTACAAGTCAGCAGTATCTGTGCCTCCCTCATGCCCCAGGGTATCTAAACGAGTACTTCTTTTGAGCCAAATTTTATGAGGATCTGCGATGTGGAAGGGTACATGATGAGCTCACGTTCTACTCCTTCCCACTGCACAAGCCCCATCGTGTCCACCGTCTCTAGACAGAGGGTGTGGCCTGCAGTAATGACATGGCGGTGGAAGATCCAGGCGCGTCAGGTCGCGAATGGACTCCACTCTGTCGTTGCCTTATACGAAGGCCACGGCAAAGTTGATGGATACGAGCCCGAAATTGTTCGATTATTTTCTAAATAATCTCTGCTCCTCAGTTGGTACAGGTCATTAACACATAGAAGCTTATGCATTTGCAAAATATCAAGGCTGAGAATTCAAATGTGCTATAAATATAACGTCACGAGATGCCAGAGGATTGCTAAGAGTTGCTGTGCCATTGAATATGCCGTCGGCGTATAATGAAGCCTAGAGAATGCGCCGAGCTGACCATATCCGACACCATCTACATGTAAATTTGAATTGATAGTATTATGGTGTCAGGTATAGACCTTGTATCTAGAAGTCATACACAGGGTTGTTGATCCCAGGAGACTTCATTCTGCCTACGTGACCAATCCTGATTGAGGGCAAAGACTCAACACCTATATGCAGTGCCATCTACGAAACTGTTAGTGGAATACTCGTACAGCCCTTGTGTCGGTTAAATTTCGTGATATCAAAGAAAATGGCCTGCGAGGTAATGATCTCGGGCTCCTCACCCATCAATCTTGCTAGAACCAAGCCAGTGATAAAATGGTTCAGACTGGAATATTGAGCACTTGCGCCACGGAATATGATTAACCCGCATCATCTTTTTTTTGCATCAGATTTTAATTGCGTATACAGCTATCTAGCTATGACACAATATCAAAGAAAAGTACAGAGCCCGCTTCATCAGCTGAACTGAATTTATAGTTTAATGATATTCGAAATCTACTCAAAAAATTACAAAGAGAGTAAGCCACTTTTGTAGGAAGAAAGCCCCGAGAAATGCAACTCGATGTCCTGCCACCCTGAAACGACCCAGCTTGATGACCATGAATACAAGGTGATGAATTGTAAGGAGAGATTAGAGTGTAGGTGAAGATAAATTTACGAGGTCGCACCATTGCCAACAGGCACGCGTATATATTAATTTATATAAGCTTTCCGCAATAGTGCCTACGGATCATCACGAGCCTCCGACAACCTCCTTATCTCTCAGACCTTCACAAATAACTGTCGAGGAGGGCAAGACTGAACGCCTGTACGCGGCGTCCTCTACGAATCTGGGAGTGAAATATTCTCCCAGACCCAAGTTTAGTAAAATATCGCAACATCAAAGAAGTTGGCCCACGAGGCAATGATTCAAATTACTCCTCCACGTCATTTTTTCGCTCCCTAAGAGTTTGACTCCTACATAAGTCTCATCAATTCTACAAGTACGACCAAGTACATCCTCATCTCAATGATCACACCTCTCGTCGACTTTCTCTGGCCTCAGTTGACCACCAAGTACACGCCCACGCCGATATTTATACCCGACGGAGGAAGCAAAGCGTGGTGCACAAATCTGGGAGATAGCTCTTTGGGATGGTTGTGAGAGGGATTAGGACAAGTTGATAAGACGATGCGAAGGAAGGATATAACCTCGACGGGCGTGAAACTCTTAATTTTTGCAAGGAGTTTTACGAATTGAGCCTTGTGCGCGCCTAGACTTTGCTTGCAAAAGTGCAGCTAACACTACAAGCACAAGTCAACGATGGAAGGTGTTGTGGTCCGCCTCTTGCTGGTGTTATATGGTATAGTTCTAGTAGCCTGGGCACATACTCCACTTAGGAAGGAGACATCTCAGATCACATTTCGCGCGGAGGAAAGATAATGGGTGATGGAGACATTTCTGGATAACTCAGGGTTTTTGAGACGTTCATCTAGGTCGGTATTCACGGATGAGGGTTGATTTGGGTTGAAGAAAAAGCCGGTATAACTTCGCAGTGGTACTTGCAAATTTCATCTGAGGCATGAGTGCTCTTCCTTTACGTTGAATCATCTATTCTGTACTTTTCATTGATATTGTGTCATAGCTAGATAGCTGCATACGCAATTCAAATCTGATGCAAAAAAATAACTGTCAGAATATACCTCTGCGCTTGTGATAGCACTAAAATGTGGGTGTATTTCGGGGTATATCTTGTGATTGGTATGTGATTTGGGAATTACATTTCGCTGAAACAGCTAAGATAGTTTGTGGACAGACATCTTCATGTTACGGCTTTTATCTGGCGATAGTTGGCTGGAGTAATGGCTGTTAAGCCTAAAAATTCCTGTAGCCTACGCAGGCTATAACACTAAGGAAATCATCGGGAAGGATCTCGAAATACCCAGAGCTTATAAGATTCCCAATGAACCTTCTGGAAGCATACTGTAGGTTCGTGAGGATGACAGGAGTATCGAGAATCTTCTATAGAGTTGTCGAAGTTTCCAAACAATTCTGGTCACACAAGGAACCTTATAGAAGGGGATTTTTTTAGATTAAATATATATAATTGTAGTCTAAATGTAGGAATTCTCTCATTAGAGAATCATAATTAATATACTGCGCTTACAAGATTTCCCATGTATATTGTAATGAAACTGTGACAGGTGGGCTGACTTACAGGCCCAGCATTCCGTGGATGTGGCGTGTTGCAAACGGGTTTGGCGCTCGGACTAGGTAGGACGCTTAGCAACTGCTTGTAAGATAGTCATCAGCAAACAGTTTACATTGGCTCAATTCCACTGGAATGTTTTATTCACAGAAAGAGATAGAGATAGATGTATGTTTATTGTGCTGCTTGAGCCTATAGATGTGAAGGGACTAATCACATTAGCTATTTGCATGAAAGTGTGTCATAAATTAGTTTATATTCTGTATAAAGAAAGAAGTACTACGAAGAATACATGCTTATCTACTCGATACCGCGCGTCGCGTATGGATTTATGCAGGAGTTATCCTTTACACAACTCATTAATCCAGCCAAGCCATGTACTCTAAGACTTCTTGATAAATGAACCAGATAAACTCCGGTTATAACGAAACAAGGCACTAGCCTGTAACAATAGATACCTAACACATTGGGCTCCTCTCTGACCCAGACCACGCCTTGTACAGTGCTCCTTGCTGTTGTGATCTAACGCTGTTCAATCTGCGGACATTGTGGTGAGCAGTTATTACATCTCACGTGATGGAACACAGGAGCGAAGTAAAAGAGGGGACAGCCCACTAGCCAAATCTAAGCGATTGCACGACGTTAAATAACTATAAAAAAAATAAAAAAATCTAAGTGATTATGGGCACGTGTAGAACTGTAGCACATTCTCTGTAGATAGACGTAACAAGCAATTATCATCAATAATTATATCAACCTCCACATAATTGAGACCCATAGAAGTGCCAAACTTTCATATGACCCTCAATTATATTGTCGCATTCGCATCTGTAACGAGACACCACTGCATTCCAGAATACACTCTCTAACTGTGATAAGCTACACCGCCAGGTCTAGCAAACAAATTACAATACTTGCCTCTTTTGTTACGTTAGAGACCATTGATATATTGCCTGTGATGAATAGCCATTCAGCTCAGTATTTACGCGTATAACACAGCCACATTTTCCACGTAACCTCCTAAACCAAAAAAATGGTAGCAATGGAAGCTGTGTGCAAAGTAAAAAGCCTTCAAAAACCTGCAGCCCCAGCCAGGCGAGGCCTAGATACCGGGACCACTGAGGTGCGCAAATACATCAATTTCTCCCTTCTTTGTAACATTAGTGGTCAACTAGATCTA